GGGGCGGGGGGCCCCCGCGCCGTCCCTCCACACCTCCATCTCGGGCTCGTCGCTGGAGCTCTCGGAGCCGGTGGACGGTGGCAACAGGGAGTTGGTGCCCTTCGATAGCGACGACACGGACGACGAGTCCTCGCCCAGTCCCTCGGGGACGCTGCAGAGCCAAGCCAGCCACTCCACCATCTCCTCCAGCTTCGGCAGTGAGTCCTCCCCAGCCCCTACTTTTTTGCCCCAAAACGATGGGCAGCTCCATCGTTTTGGCCACTCTGCCTTGCGTTCCTCGGAGAAATCTGCAGGTGGAGGCTTCTGAGCCAAGGAAATCCCAGGAAAAAGTGATATTGGGGAGCATCAGCCCAACGTGGTGGTGCTGGGATGGGGCTGGTGGCTTGGGGTAAAAGCTGGTGGGTTTTGGGGCTCAGCATCCTTGTGTCCTTCCTCGGGCTTGACATCACAAGGCGATCCATGGTCTCTTCCCCATCACTTCGGTGGGTGTCGGGTGGTCCTGGTCTGACCCATTCCTTCCCCCTCTTCCTCCTTCTCCACAGATGAAGAGATCACAAGCTGTAAGGAGGCGACAGCGGAGATGACGAGCTCAGAGGAAGAGCAAGAACCCGGCTTCATGCCCATCACTGGCACCTACGGCCAAAACCGCCACGGCGAGAGCCCCACGGACGGGCGAGCTCTGCGCCGCTCCAGCCGTGGCTCCTTCACCCGAGGCAGCCTGGAGGACCTTCTCAGCCTTGACCCTGAAGCCCATCAAAGCTCCATGTGGTTGGGCACCGAGGACGGCTGGTACGTCCCCAGGACAGGAGGACACATAGGTGGGGTGGACCCCGATCCCAGGTGAACCTCAAGCTTTGCTCTTCTCCCGTAGCATCCACGTCTACCAATCCTCGGACAACATCCGTAACAGGAAGAACAGCATGAAGATGCAACACGCCGCCGCCGTCATGTGCATCTTGTAAGCGGGGAAGAAGATTCTCGACTCTGGGATGTCCACAGTGGGGTGGTTTGGGGTGGCCAAGCGAGGCTCTGCGACCGGTTCTTGAAGGATTTTTCTCCCCACAGGTACCTGGATAACCAGGTTTTCGTGTCGTTGGCCAACGGGGAGCTCGTTGCGTACCAGCGGGAGGCAGGTGAGGCTGGATCGGGGCCGTCGGAGGGTGTTGGGGGGTTAAACCCAGCCCCAAAGCGGTGGCTGTTGGGTGGGTGGCTTGGGCAGCCCCCCAGGGAGGGATGCTCAGGGTGCTGGTGGCTTCTCTACCTCCATGGGAAGAGGCATTCCTCAAGGGATGCTGAAGACCTCAAAATTGGAGCCAGGTGTCCTCCTCCCAGTCCTTGCCCATCGCTGGCATCCCTTGGGGACATCAGCTCGTGTTCCCTCTAATGGAGCACCTAGAGATGGGCATCTCCAGCTACTGCATCCCACCGGCCAGGCCAAGATAGGTTTTTTTGGGGAATGCTTTAACTACCCACCCCACTCCCACCATCCTCACAGGTCGCTTCTGGGACCCTCAGAACTCCAAGTCCTTGTCCCTGGGCTCGCCGGGGAGCCCCATCACCAAGATGGTGGCGGTGGCAGGGAAGCTGTGGTGCGGCTGCCAAAACCGGGTCATCGTCCTCAACCCCACCACGTTGGCGCAAGAGGTACCGCCGGGCGCCGGTGGGAGGTGGCGGGGGGGAACTGGTCGGCCGGGC